TATGTATTTCTAAACATTTGAGGAAGAGAAAAGTAAAGTTTAAGGAGTGGATGTGGCCTGAAACTACAGAGTCTTGAAACAAAATGGTAGGAGAAACGATCCTGCAGCTGGGGTGGCTTCCAATTCGACTTCCAGCAAAACATGGGGTGGGGTTGGGGGTCCCCAACCTTACACGTCCATCTGCCCCGGCAGTGGAAAGCTCAGATCCCTCGTTAGAGGTTTTGATCTGTGACATCCAACGGACACCACCTTTTATTTATAAACCTGCTGGCCGGCCCATAGGGGCAGTGCCGGTCCCTGGTGATGTCCATCTCAGGCACTTTTCTGGGTTTTGTTTGTGCCTCACAGTCCCGGGGGTGGGGGAGTGAGGAGGGAGGGAAAAGTGGGAGCAGGGCTTTGACCTGCCCGAGAGGAGCCCCCGCTGACACGGTCAGTCTGACCCATTGAATGGCCTGAATGCGATAAATGCCGCTTTATCCTGCTTTGAAAGGCACGAGATAGCACAGCCTAAATGCCTGGGCATGCTTAAATAGGCGACTCAGGATGTTTGAGCTGAGCGTGTTTGAAATCCGAGCTCCCTGACAGCCTGGGAGCTGCCACAGGTCACCTGCCTTGCTCCACGGGGACAGGCCCAGGTCTCGCAAGAAATTGTCCGTAGACGAATTGTAGTACATATTCCTTTCTTTGTTGGTTGGCCTCTTTCACTAGACCATGGCCTATAAAATTTTGTAAAAACAATTCTTAAATATTATTTGAAAGGGCAAATGGCCCACGCTGAAAGGTCTGACAGTTTGACATATAGAGCAGGGTTTTGATAGCTCGGAAACAGAAAAGTGTGGCCAAGATTCTCCTCCCCCCCCCTCCCCCTGCTTGTTAGAAGCCCTGGTGTTTCTTAAAACAGTGTCTTGTTGGGGCACCCAGTTGCTCCGCACCCAGCAATCGGACAGGCAATGCGCCTGCATCCCTGATCCTCAATCCTTTCGGACCCATTGCGGGGAGAGCCCCGAAACACCCAGCACCTTTGAATGCAGCGTCCAAAGTGCACAAGACCAGGTATTGCCAATTAAGGAGCCATTCGGATGCTCCTATCAAAGCAGATGGCTTTGGAGCTTTCTGAGATCAGCCAGAACCAGAGCTTAGAGAGAGAGGAGCCCCGAGTTTCTCTTCCTGAAGGGAGGGGAAGAGAGTTGAGTGGCCCCATCAGAGCCTGTGGAAGTGGCAGGGAAGTGGATTTCTGCATTAGAATGTTGCATATGAGCAGCCGGTCTGCGCCCTGCGCCCGCTGCCTCTGCATAGCCAAGGGCCATTTTCAGGAGCCTCCTGCCCCTCAGTCACTGGCCTGCTTGTTAATTGCCACGCGGACTTCCTGACACATGGGCAGATAAAATGACATTTTCGGTTTCTGTCACTAGCAAACGCCACAACGTCGCTTGCACTAGTTGCTAAGAAGCTGTCAGAAACCATTAGCCATTGGCCAGAGTCGCCCTATGGCATTTCCTCATAGCATCAGCAAAACGAGCATAAATCACCCACTGGAGCCCACTGCTATCCTAATGAGGCCATAAGCTTGTTTATGGACTAGCATCATTTTTATGATTATTTCCACCTTTTCGGTCTGCCTTCATTTGGCGGCGGGAGAAGTCAGCTCCAGGAATGAAGTCACAGCTGACATTTTACAAATGCGGCTCGGAGCCGCGGCCTGCTGCCGTGTGGTCAGCCGGCGGTTCTCCAAGTTTGTTTAGTGATCTTAAAAATAAAAAAGGGAAATAAATCCTCCGGAGACCACAGAGAGGTGGCCGTATCCAATTGCAGCGTGAATGGATACGCTCAAGGTACCACGGACCACGGTAGATGGTCCTCTGGGGCGGGGACGTGGTGAGATCCCTTTTTTCTTTTTTCTTTTTTCTTTTTTTCGATTTTTACAAAGCGGGGGAGGTTAAACCATTTATTAAAATCCATGGAAGTGTTTGCTTTGATAACGGTGTGCTTTAGTACGCTCTCTTCTCCGTTCCCCATCTTCTCCATTTCCCCAACTTGTGTCGGGAAGGAGCAGGGTTTATTATTTTAGGCTTTTCTGAACATGCACCAGTATTTACACTGGATTGAAAGCATTTGCTTCCAATGAAAATCTTGTCTTAGATTACAGCCCAGCAGTGTAATTTCCCTCCCAGATGGGAGTAAAGTAGCTGTATTTGCCTAAAAACAGTAGGAAGAACAAACTGTGCGTTAAGCCAAGGCTGTTTTTGGCTTGAGCTAATGATGTAATAGAAACCTTTTCTTAGGGAAGAGGTCACTGGCAGGGACTGAAGGGGGTGATCTGGCTCCGGCTTGAAAGGTTGCTCCATTGTATCTACATAAGTCTTCACTTAAAACACGCTGCTCCTAATGCTTCTGCTCTCCTCCAGCAGAAATAAACAGGAAAGGTTCTGGCGAGTGTTACACATGGAATGCAGAAAGCCTTCCTCTGCTAATGGAGTATATAATTCAGGTGCCCTCAAGGCACGCTTTCAGGAATTCTTTTGCCCGAGGTAATGGGAAGCTAAGGCTGCTTGAAGGCCTTGATTATCTATTGATGCACAAAGCTGGAAAAAAGTCATCTCCGCCGGATTATAGCAGATATTTCCATAAATTATCAATGAATTCTCTTCTAGGCAGGCACGAGGCACTGCCTGCTAAATTAATCTGAGGGGGTTTGGAGATGGATAGAAAGGCTATTTTTCCCCCCTTTTTTCTTTTTAAAGGTGGAAAACAGTCACGGTGGTGGAAAGACCGTGTCCTTAGGTTAGAAGCTTTTCATTTTTAATCAACGATCGAGTAATATGCTTCTTTTCCTTGGTTACCTTTTTGCCTGTTGCAAGTGGATTAGCCCATTGAAATTTTAAATGCTGTTCGAGTTGTTTTCTTTGCTCATGTTTCTTTAATGAATTGTTATTTTATATGGTGAATTGCTTCCCTGAATAAAAAGCCTCTTTAAATACCGGACTTACAAAGAATTTGTTAGGCAAATCCAAGGGGACGCTTTATACAACACTTGGTTATGCAAATAAAGAGTTGGGTGGGATGGAGGGAGTACAGATTGAAGGATGGGAGTGTCTGGTCCAACACAGATCCACTGGCTCCAGCCCAGGCAGGGTGACCCTCCAGTCACCCAACAGGAGCCCAAGCACATTCCTCCTCCCTACACTGAGGGCTTTGGCACTGTGGGTCTTTATGAGCTTTTCTGCTGAGAACACAGCTAGGATTCTGTAGGAACTTCCACAAATATATATGGATTTCAAGTTCAATACAATTTATGGATTTTTACATTAATGAAAAGTAAACTCTGCAAAGTTCTGCAGGCATTTATTTTTGTGGGTGCGTGGCTTATGCTGCAATCATAGCAGAAGTGTTGAAATTGGTCTGTTCTTCACCCAACAAAGTTTTAAAACTTTAACTCAGTACCAGTCAAGGTTAGTTGGGGGTTGGGGGGAGAAGGGTCTCCTGAGGAAGCTGTAAATTGATAATGATAACATAACTGGGATAGGTTAGACTGAAATCACTGAAATGAAAATTGAGAACTCTTTTTGTATCCAGTATATCTAGGCTACTGGAAATAGGGACTATGGAAATTCCTGGAGTAATATACAGTCCCTGGGAAATGTGTCTCACCAAAGTACCCAGTTCTTTTTGGGCTACGCATGCTTCTCCCCAGGGATTTTCGTGGCCCAGTGAATGTGCTTAGAGAACTTTTGTTACCTCCTTGCTAAGCCTTGTTGCTGTATTTAAGGTAACCAGACGTCCCGCAGGACAAATTGTTAAAAATCGGGACTGTCCCGCCAAAAGCGGGACATCTGGTCACCTTATGTATAGTGCTTCTTTCTGGCCCAGGTCAACCTGTCCCTTTCTAAAAGCCAGCAGCTGCCTCCAAGAGCTGGGGCTCCGGGTACAGATGCGTGCTTGAAGCTACTTTCCGAGTGGAGTGGGTTTAGTTTGCTGCTGTTTTTCCTTTGGCTTTTGCAACCAAAGGCTAAATGCTTCCTTTTCATTTGTACCTTATGACTTATTTCGGACAGTGTGATTTTATGGGCTGAAAATGTTTTTTTTCTTATTAGACATCATATTGTAAAAGAAATCCTACATTTTAAAGTTTATGGTGTCACAAAGCCAAAATGTTTTCTAGAAGAAGGAGCTTACATGTTCTACCAAAAATCAATAGAAAAAATAGGATCCCATATACAGACATGTGTAAAGCAGGTGACTTTTCAATAAGAAAATTTACACGTAGAAGAAATGTTAAACACTGTCTATATTACTAGAGTCATATAATTCCAATGGACTGTTCATGTAACATTCCTTTACTTGATTTAAATACTCATTTTTTTTTATTTATTAAAAAGCAATTTGGGGAATTTTCCCTTACTGAACTCGATTCTCCCTTTCTATGACAAGAAAAATTATCTTCTATTTGAAGCATTCCTATGTCAAAACTGCTTATATGACAGATCACCTACATTTCCATGGCCTAATTTAGTCTTAAGATAGATCACTTGTGGAAAGAGTTGATTTCTCAAATGCATCTTCTCCCAAGTTGACATCAATGACTCCATGTGGGATTTGACTACCCAGGCAGGGGCCCAACTCTGCTAATGGCTGCCATCATGTTTCATTCCCCAAAAGGGGATGCACTTCACATGTCTCAACTTTATACATTTGAATAATTACCATGGCAACAGAGCTGCTAGAGAGATGGGATATTTCCCTCCATTCCCTTTGACCTTTGCACTGTTCTTTGGAAGAAGTTCCTTAGACCTGACCACTTTTGAGCCTAGGCCTTGTTATTCTTTCCCTTTGTCTTGAAAAAAAAAAAGAAAAAGAAATGAAAAAGAAAAGAAAACAGTACCAAATAAACGATTAATCATTTATATATTGCTCTTTTGGTTTTGTTTATATCCAAAGGCATTCTATTTGAATAAAGCATGTCAAGGTAGCATCAGTCAAAATCTGATTCACTATGTTTGCAGGTGATGGCTTGGACAACAGTGTAGCTTCCCCCAGCACAGGTGACGATGATGATCCAGATAAGGACAAAAAGCGTCACAAAAAGCGTGGCATCTTTCCCAAAGTAGCCACAAATATCATGAGGGCGTGGCTGTTCCAGCATCTAACAGTAAGTGGATTCTAAATGACATCTCTAAAGTAAATATGGACAAACAGTTTTGATAGAAAAAAAAAAATGGGGGAAACGTGATCCCTCTGGACCTGGGATATTTCATAAATCGTTGTCTCCCCACAGTGTTCACAAACGTGTCTGCACTTATTTCCTCAAGATGTTCCCCCGAATGAGGCGTTTGATTTGAAGTTCGCTATTGCAATGTTGTTAACTGTCATCCAATCTAAGCTGTAGGGGTTCACGTGCCCTTGTGATTTTAAGCATGCCTGTTAATGATGTTGTTCTCTCAGGGTGCCTCTTGAACACTTAGAACCAGCTCCCAGAAAGAAGGGAGTGAGACAAGCCTCAGAGAGAAGGACTTAATTTCTCCTAATGCTGGCGCGGACCTTCCTAACGAATGGCCAGCAAAAAGTTCCATCTTGCGGCCATGGCAGAATGCGCACATAATTTGCTTTTAAGTGGTGTGAATGCACTGGCTGCCATTCCCACTAGCTCCTTTGAGTCAGAGCTGCGCAGTGAAAGTGGCCCCTGGATTTAGAACTGTAAAGGAAAACAGCAATATAGAGTCAGCTCTTCCTGTGTAGTCCCTGGTGACTTCTCAAGCCGGGTAACAGTTTATATTGTCTGTGTGAGTATTGCTGTTTTCACTGCAGGAATTCTCCTGGAGATGTGAGAAACGGGAGGTTTGGGGCTTGCTGCCACCGAGGGGTTTGTTTGGTTTGGTTATTGTTCTGAATGAATTTCATGTTCAAAATATTTATAATCATAATATTGTGGTGGATATTTTTGGAAGTGCATACAGACTTAATGACATCTGAGGAAGAAGATAAAAGGAAAATGTATGAGTCCAATAAATTTTAAAAATCAGCAAAATTGTTGACCCGGGGGGACTGGGACTCCCACCCCGAGGGACAAAGAATGGGCTATGTTACCATTTTTAGCATAGTTTACTTTCCTTAAACTCATACGTTTTTCTTGAGTATTCAAATTAATTTTGCATTGTCACAAAGCTGACCTGACCTGTTGACCCTTGCACCCTGGCCCACTCTCAAAGCCATGGTCCTCAGTGACTTGTTCTGATGCAGGGAGACAAACAGGGGATGTGGACAGAGGCTGTGCCTCCAATAACATTCGAGGGTCTACATTCATCCAGCGTGTGAGCAAAATCAAAACTGAGAGCAGCGGGAGTAACTAAAAAAGTGGCTTCCACCCTTCATTTCTTCCCATGATGATTCCAAACAGTTACTAGATGATGCTGATAGTTTGGAATCAGCTTTAGGGCTTGGTGAATGCTCATGGTTAGTCGAAGATTTAGATTGCCTTAGCTGATTTTAACATCCTATTAGGTTAACCTATGATCTGAGTCAGGTGCCATTACTGATATGACACTTGTCGCTATATGTGAGTAGTTTGAGATATGCCTTGAGCATATCTGCTACTGAGGACTATCAAGCGCCACTGAAGGGAAAACAGGGAGGCAGAGAGCTAGGGTCTAGGGGGCTTTTAAAACTAGAAGGAGATGAGACCTGGTAGTTGGTCAACAGCGCTGATGCAACCCTGCTGATATTTCATCACCTATGCTAATCAGCTAACTTGAGCTGGAGGATGAGTGTGGGGAGGGAACAAAATCAGGTCCACCCTAAATATTTCTATTTCCTGTACTAACAGAAAAAAAAAAAAAAAGAGTAGATTTTGTCAACCTCCATCTCAATTGGCAAAGGAGCATTGGCTTTATTTGCAGCTCAGGTGCCCCTGAATAAAATATAATCAAATATTGGTTCAGATGGAATCAGGAGAGAGAGAAGCAAGTTCTTTATTCATCCATCAGGTTTCCTAGGTTATATCCTTGTGAAGGACCTTGCAGAGAGCTATAGTACTTCCTTTAAAAAACAAAAACAAAGAATTCCTTTGAACAGCCAGCATGACTTTACCTGTATTGTAATGCTTTCAGTGGTACATATTATTGGGATGATTGTAATGAGAGTTAATCTTGAACTGCCTGATTTCCTACAGTGTTGGGGTCTGAAAGGGAACCCATATCCATGTCTCTCTGGCTCTCTATGGATGCTCATAGGGGTCATTTTGTGGTTTGTTGGTGCCCCATCCCACTGCCATCTACTCAGACAAAAATATTGTTAATGATAATGGGCTCTAAAAAAGTGCTCTCATAATATCATCTAAAAAGCAAGAGTAGGAGCTTTATTGAAAAATTTCCCTCTTTCCCCAATGAGAAAGATTTCCTTCCCTTTTCTCTAGTTGCAAGAGCAAATAGATCTCCAATTATAAGGAACACCCTTCTCCTTGTCTTGTTATGCTTCTTGAAGGAGTGTACAGACTGCTTAGGTAATATTTATAGTCAGGAGATGATTATAATAAGTTCTATGGGAAAACCTGTAGAGTTTTGTGGTGATTTGCCCCAATGTAAGTCACTATTGACATCTCAGTACTAATCCTTTAGCAACTTCATTTCAAGTTCTGAGAGGACTTCAGGGATGCACCATTCATTTGGAAGACCATGTACAGATTTTAAACGTAACACATTCTTGCTTGATGATTAATGCAACTTATCTAGAAAATTATTTCTTAAACCTTGCTAGATATAAAAGAGCAATGGAGACTCTGGCTAATTGAAACAATAGCAATAATAATTAATTAGAAAATTGTGAAAACCAATCTATTAATTGCCAAAGACATATAAAACCTCACACACTTCTTTAAAAGCAAATTGCTATTTGTTTTCTTTTACAAATAAATGGGTCAGTCTTTTCATTGGGCTTATTCAGTTGAAAAAAAAAATTGCCTTTGAAAGGGCTTTGAAGCATTTGTGTGTTAGAGCAGAATAGGTCCGGATTTTTAAGAAAAACCTTCTGGATTTGCAACCCAGCTGCATAAGAAAATGTGTGTTCTCTAGTTATCCACCGGTAGACTTAATCAGTTAGCACATTTGACTACTCCAAAGAGAGAGCGAAAGCTTCCTTCTTGGACTCCCAGTCTCTAGGAAGCTCAACCGGACATATGTGTGCATAATAAAAACAATGAAAGGAAAAGGAAGAGCTTTTAAACTTTGGTGATATGGGGTAAAAAGAAATTTCACTGATGTACATTTTCAGCTGAGACGACTTAGTTGAGCATTTGCCAGTTTTGCTAACTAGAGAATGCCTCTGAAAAGAAACCGTTCCCTGGGATTGAAAAGAAAGACTGACATGTAGATAATAAAAGAGAATTAGAAAGAAAAGAAATGCATTTATTAATTGAAATGCTTGCATTTGCCTGAAGACATATTATTGCAAACAATTAAAAAGTGCTTAATAGTGGCATATTAGTCACTGCAGAGTGACAGTTCAGGGGCATATGCCACATCAAGGTTTCTTTTCCTTTCTGAAGGGCTTTATTCCAACTGTAAATATAACCTGCTGGGGTGTCATGTTTAAGCTGGATGTGGTTTTCATATTAGCGGTTATTTTGCTGCACAGTGCCCTAGTGAAAATGAGGAGAAGGGATAAATACAAGGTTTAAGATAAAAATCAAGTTTTTTTTTCCCTCCCTACCCTAACGTATTGCAGGTTTAAATGTAATATAAATAGAAAAGCGGTTAATATAGTTCTTATTTAAAATATGCAGAGACATATTTTCCTGCAGGGAGCTGCTGTGTGTCCCAAGAATGCTGAAAGTTATAAGAATGGAGGTTAAAATGCATCCCTGCAGATTCAGGGGAAGGAACCGTTCAAGGGGTGACGCATCTGGTTGGCATTGACCAGTAGGGAGGGGACCTTCAAGGAGAATCTATTTTCATTCACATTTTCTTGGAATCCCTACTCTTTCCCTGATATTGAGGATCCTATTGGCTACTATAGAGACAAACTTTGTTTGGAAGTCCAGATACACAACATTTGCTATTTAGTTTAGTTTTGTTTATTTGTGTGTGTTTTTCTTGTGTGTGTGAATTTCGAGCTTGGAATTTTTGTTTGTTTGTGGTGGCCAAATTTGTCTCAGTTTCTTATTTATAAGATTTTTTTTTTCTCAGTGAGGATAAAGTCAATGTGAGGGCCGGTAGAATCTTCCAGGTTGGGGATGGTGTTTCCATAGAAACACTATTAGATGAAAAGTGCCCTGTGGGTCTGCCATTCTAAGGATGGAGTAAATGGAATTGAATCGGGAATTGAATGCTCTAGAAGAGACAGATGTTGTTTCATTGGTTTTGCTTTTGGTAATAAGATCGGTTGGAGACGTCATAGTGTGATATCTCTGCTTGCAATTTTGGAAGAATTACTCTGTAGACATTAGGAACTATTTTTACAATGAAAAAGTCCTTCTCATTGGTATCCAGATAACCCATTCTGCTAATGCAGGCGAGCACAATGTTGATCAAAAAAGGTAGATGGGTAGGCATATAGACAGAGAGTAAAAGGCATTTGTTCCTCTCCTCCCATTTCTGCTTCTCTCTGACCCTCATTTCTATACTTGGCCAGTTTTGTTTTGTTTTTTAAACCCTTACATTTTTTTTTAAAAAAGCATGTGTTGTTGTTGTTTTTTATTGATTTTTTACAGAGAGGAAGGGAGAGAGATAGAGAGCTAGAAACATCAATGAGAGAGAAACATTGATCAGCTGCCTCTTGCACACCCCCCACCGGGGATGTGCCCGCAACCAAGGTACATGCCCTTGACCGGAATCGAACCCGGGATCTTTCAGTCCACAGGTCGACGCTCTACCACTGAGCCAAACCAGTTTTGGCTATACTTGGCCAGTTTTAACAATGAACCTTCTTATTATGTCTTACCAGCTAGTGCCCCTTCAGCTACCATTTGTCCTAAGAAGGTAGCGAACAGGAAGACTATGTTCTGAAACTCTTGCCTGCAGAATCAATCAGGGTAGTACAAAGTATTACTTTCAAACTATCCTAACCAACTTCCTGAGCCACGGAAGGTGGCTGGTGGAGACAGCAGTTCACTTTGACTTCTTCCTCACTACGTGTTATCTACAGATATATTATTAAATT